GCTGGCTGGCAAATACAGCCAGTCTTTAATTAGAGGCAAACACCAAACTGAAACTTAAATTGGTCTCACTCAAAAGCCTCAGTGTACACACAGAATGTTAAAGATGACACCAAACAGTGATGTTATACTATTTCAGCATTTTCTAGACTTCACACATTTATAATAGTCCCTGTTTTTGAAAAATATCCCATTAAGTGCACCTAACATCTGTTGTTATTTGTATTTTGTTTTACCCTCTCTGTATGTTTCATATACATATTTTCAGGTTGACCTTTACTACCTACAAATAAACAAAGAAGAAGCCTGAAATCCAATCCAACAAATTATTTAGTTCAACTTCTGAGCTCTAGCAGTGAAATTCTTTGCTTTAAAAACAAATCGCAAATTATACTAACTGTGTATTATGGGACTATAGTTCATTTTATCCATCTAAAAATAGAAAATGATTACATTTCAAAGAATGAAGAAAAATATACCTATATTAAAATTTAATGAACTTTTGCAGTAATATTTTTGCTTTAACTTTAAAATATTATAGATTTAGCATTCACTGCAATTATATCAGTCAAAATACTAGTTTTACCAATTTAAAAAATCAGCTACCTTGTTCATTTTTAAAAGGCAGCTAGCCATTAACACATTAAATGGGAAGTTCTAACAAAATACATTTTAGAAATATTTATGTTGTAGTCATAAATGTGCTAACTTTATATTATTTGTGTCCTGATACCTAGCAATGCAATGAAAGAAAATACTTGTATGTCTATAAAATACAGTTTCATTTTCCTCGTTATATTTTATGTTCTCCATTGAGAGGAATAGTATGATTCAAATATAATAATAATATTAATTATCTTTTTACATGAATATTATAATTTTGGGAGACACTGTTGTTTATAGATAATAACTTTAAGATAATGGTATATAATACACTAGACTTTTTCTGAACTTCTAAATGAAGTTATTAAAATCAGATGATATGATTTTAAATGAGTTTCAAAGTTGATTTGTCATTTGGAATTCTTGTAATATTAATTTCTTGAATGGTGTAGGGGGAAACAAATTTATTGTTCTGTTTCCAAATCACAGAATGATGCTATCAATTGATTACATCCTTCTAAGGTTGGACTGGACAACAGAAATTCTCATATCTTTTTTACTTTAGGAAATTCACATCATTGTTAACGGACATCCAAAGATAAACCACCAACAGCACTATTGTAGGATAAGGAATTGCACAGGAATTTGGGGTTCCTTTGTGTTTGACCCTTCTGATCCCAATGGTGTTATCTGAGTCAGCTGGAGATTCCTCTGCTTCATACAAAAAATAAAATTTTCAGACTAAGTTTGGCTGGCATAATGGGCCCAGGAGACATTTAGGACAACTTAAAGACAATGTGTGTGGCTAAATTTTCCTTATCCAGGGTCCCCAAAAAGTATTCAGCTTTAACTCTTAGGGAGGATGGACTCTGTCTTATAGCTATAAATATCCATGAATCATTAAAATCGAGGGGAGTAGAAAAATAAGCGCATAAGTATTGTTAACTTTTCAGAGTAGATTAATTTTCTGGAACTTAACTTTAAATGTAAGAAACTTAATGGTAATTAAAAGTGTTCAAGCATTAAAATATAATGAATAGAAAATGTATGTAGAAGTGCTTAGGTTGTTAAAGTGGACAAGGGATAACAAAATAAAATCTTAACCCAAAAATTATAATGTGAATATTCAAGAAAAAAGTGAACAAGGCAGTCGTTACAAAATGGAACTTGCAGAGAATGATTTACTTTTTCTGTATTTTTCTTAAATTTAACAAATTTTATTTCTAAAGAAATGGAAACATATAAGAAGTTCAGAAATATACATAAATGAAAGTAGAAAAATAAAAGCAAAACATATTTATATTACCTATAAATACTATTTAGTGTTGTATTTTATATTTTAGATCTATCTATAGTGTAGATAGATCTTACATAGATTCTTAGGAAAAATATTACTTATATTTGCAAAGGAAATTTTTGCTTAAAGATACGCCAGAAATAATGATAAGGGATAATTCTGAATAAAACCTTAAAAATTCTCAACAGCTCTTGAAAAGCTCTCTGTATCTACTTCTACAAATGAAGTAAGAATATGTTTTCCCCATATTAATATCCCATTATTTTGTGACCCAGTCTTTTTTTGGGGGGTGGGTACTGGGGAGGAACTTATGACCTTGCGCTTACCAAACAAGCACTTTGAACCGCTGAGCTAAGTCCTGAGCCCTTGTAACCCAGTCTTAACCAGTTTAAGGTCCATGTCTTCCTATGACAACAAATACTCATTTTTACTGATATTAATGCATATTCAGACTACCAAGTTATTCCAAAAAAGAATATCATGGATTTGTCCAAATCAGGAATCAATCCAGAACTGGATTTCACATCCACTTGTCATTCCTATATAGTTGCTTATGAATTTCATTTCAATTACTGCATGAAATTCACTGCAAGTTATCTTGATTTGACTCTCTGCTCCATTGGGATTATTTGTTTTTAAGAGAAAATTCTGCAAGAATATAAAGAATTTTCCTTGTCCAGGCAAACATTGTGTACAACTTTTGAATGCAGAAACTGTAAAAGTTGCAATTCTTCATTGATTCAGGTTGTCTGTATCTTTACCATTCTAGCAAAATGCTTACGAGAAGAAAAGAAGGAAGACTTCAAAGCAACCACAGGGTTGTAGAAAAATATTGAAAATAAAAATTAAGTAAAAAATCAAAAATCTATTTTTATTGATTTTTATTTTTATTTTCATTGCCAATTTTAAATAGTAATTACATGATAATTAATCTCCACTGAAATATGAAAGGTTTTGTTCTGTTCTGTTGGAAGCTATTTTTAAAAGAAGTCCATAAACAAAACTAAGAGAGAGCATCTTTTTAAATGTATAGTGATGTTAATGTGGATATATATTTTCATTAATTCATACTACCCGTTCTCTTATAAAATAAATAAGCAGTATAGGTTTAGAAGTTGGTCTGAATATACAATGAGCAAAATGTTGGACACTCTTCTTAATTGTCCATAAATCTTGCAATAAAAAAATTGGGCTAAAGAAACAAAAATAGAAGCCTTTCTGTAATAGTGACTTTTCAGAGTATATCTGGAACTTAGGCTAAAAATGATACCTATTTGAAAATATAAAATATTTCTGAAATACATATTTAACTTCCACATTCAAAAATCTGTTACCCTCAAAAACACATTACAATGATGAGGTTGTGTCTATGCTATAGTGTAATTTTCTCAGCATAGATTTTTATATCCTATTTAGAAAAATCTAGGTGAATTATAGAGACATTTCAGTGTGCTACAGTACTTTGAGCTGTCAGGAAACAACCTATATGATGAACTATTTTTGTAGATTTTTCTGCAGTTTCGTTTGACAGTATTGCCGTCATGATCTTTAAAAGATCTGACTTCATTTGTAAAAGTAGTTACAAAGAGCTTTTCAAGAGCTGTTGAGAATTTTTAAAGGTTTTTTTCAGAATTATTCCTTATCATTATTTCTGGTCTATCTTTAAGCAAAAATTTCCTTTGCAAATACAAGTAATTTTTTTCCTAAGAAAATATAACCGTATGCAATGAGTTCTTAAAAAGAGGGATAAAGGGGGCTAGGGATTTAGCTCAGTGGCACAGGTACTTGCCTGGCAAGCACAAGGTCATGAGTTCAATCCTCGGTACAAAAAAAAAAAAAAAAAAAAAAGAAAAGAAAAGAAAAGAAAAAAGGAGACCAAAATAGGAATCTAATCTAAAAGTGTAAATATAGGGATATATGGTATGAAATGCTTTATTATACACAGTGTGCACTTGCAGGGAATTTTTTTTTTATATCAATCATGACTTCATAATCAAATATTTAAGTAACACCTGTGTGGGTTGCTTCAGGTTATTTGCTGTGACATGTGAAATTAATATATTTCAGAACACTGACCACTGTAACTTTATAGGTACTGATTTACGTGGAACAAGAAGTTAAAAACCACAAATACTACTCTTCACTCAAAGAAAATTTATCTTAGTAAGAAATGATGTTTTAAAACAGTATCTTTGCTTAAAATAGATTATAAAACATTTAAATAAGATATTTAGTCTCTCCCTGTGTCACGGTGACATGTTTTGTATCTTTTCATGTAATATTTAGAAGTATATCACGTATATTTGTGATGCTTAGTCACTTCCAGATATAATACATGCTCTCGTTGTCACCATGCTGAGAAGTCTGACCCACTGTACTTGCTCATTACTCTACCAGTGTTGTCCTTACCAGATTCAAATAGTGCTTTTGACAGTCACGACTCTCTTATGGTGCCTTGTTGTCTGGGGATGTGCGGATTCATGTTTTTAGGTGACTCCTTTCTGTTTAGAACAGCGCTTCTCACCTGAGGTGATGTCAGGAGCTAACTGACAATGTCTAGACACATTGTCACGAGTGCTGTATGGCTGCACAGCTGGTATCTAGAGGACGGAAACCAGAATGCTGCTAGACATCCTAAGAAGTGTCTCACAGCTCACACCTGTCCAGCCCCCAACGTCATTAGTGCCACTGTTGAGAAAGTCTAGTTTAGAGATAATTCTGAAATAAAATTGTACCCCCAGCAATCTTATTAAAATGCATGTTCTTTTATTTATGGATAATGGTCACATAAAACTAAGATGTTCACATACCAGATTCTTAGCATGTGTTTTAATTTCTGTTGCCATGGTTTACACTTTTTCATCCAATGGCGTGTTGTGGGGGCTCATTCTTATGTACATGGTGTATTAATTACAAAACAAATGAGAAGCTGCAGTTTTGCCCCTAGGAAGGTTCTCTTTCAGCCCTATTGCCCTTCTGTGTGCCCTTCCCATAAATGACTAACTTTATGAAATGCATGTAACCTCCTGAGCAACTGGTCTTTTGTTTCCTTTGTCTTTTCTCCCTTCATACATTTTTTTTTTTTTTCCATTCTGGTTGGCAGAACTCCCTTGATTGCTGCTGGAGTCATTGGCGGGCTCTTCATCCTGGTCATAGTAGGTCTCACGTTTGCAGTTTATGTTAGGAGAAAGAGCATCAAAAAGAAAAGGGCCTTAAGAAGATTCCTAGAAACAGAGGTGAGCTGTTTATTGCTTTTATTGTGTGCACTTATTCAGAAGTAATCAAAGAAGCTCTATCATTAAGAGAGAGTAGAAAGAAAAAAATACCTGGGTAGAGGATGTCTCATAGATAAAAGGAGGAACCCATGAGAATGAGATAAAAATTTCTGGCTACAAATGTAACCAGCTAGCCCAGCAATGTATACTATAATTATGATCATTAAATCAATAGCCAATGATCTCATTATGTCCCCCATGAAAGGCTGAGCTCACTGAATGAAGCTTCATGTTATAATGGCATAGCACTAACAACTTGATTTATGGGAAGTATTTAATATTATACGTGGTAGTTGTTGTGAATATGTAAATTAGCCATAAATGATTACAATTCCTCTCCTATTGCCACACTGAGCACGCAAGCTGTTGGTTTTCCTTGCACAGCGTTAAGAAGAAAAACAATTGCAGAAAACTTCACAGCACCAGACCTCTCTCATCTCTGACCTTTCCTCTTTCCCCTGATACCCATGTCTTGGCCAGGCTGAACAATTCAGAGCAGTTCTCCTCTGAAAATTAGACCACCTGAGTTTTGATTTCTCTCCTCAGTGTGACAGTAACTTAAAGTCCTCTTAACACCAGCAGGAATGGGAACATTCTTTCATAAGTTTTGCATACTGCTAATGAATTAGATTTTTAACTCTTTTTCTTCCAGAATTTAAAACTATGTAGAATAAACATGCGGACATTTTAGAAAACTAGTTTATGACTACATATAGGAAAATACATTTTAAGGATAGAATTCTTTGAAATTTGAATGCAATGTCTAATAAGCACTCTTGGTCCAGCAAAATCTAAAGGATAAAATGCATGCACGAGACGTAAGAATAACATGGATGTTAAGTAGACATTTGCAAATGACCGACTTGATTGTTTTCAAAACTGCACATGTGAATGAAAGAGGGGAAATACACGTGTGTTGTGTGTTTTTCGATATACCTAGGATGTTGCAGGCTGATACAATCCTCCCACCCGGCCAGTGTAGACAATTAGTGAGAGAATTCTGGAAAAGTCGGAAAGTACAGATGGATAAGAAAGTAAGACTTGGACATTAAGTTGGCTGAATAAGTAAAAGAGAAATTCTGTCTTTAACCACATGGAAGGCAGTATTTTTACCATGACAAGACTTATGCTCTTTCATTTTCTTTCTTTCAATGTAGTATAATACTTAGAGGTCAGCATTTTCTTGCTAAATCAGCATACTGATTGGTTTTATAGAAAGCTTTTTTGTAGAAACAATTTAGCATTAAATTGTTTTATATTTTCAGGATAAATAACTGAAGACTTTCTCATCTTTCTGCTAGCAAAAGTTGAATAATTTGGATTTTCTACCACAATATAAATACACCAGGAATTCTTTTTTAAATTTATTTTTGTCTCTGTTTTTTAGACCGGTTTTCCTCTTCAGTTCAAACTGGTCTTAAACTCACTGCATAGCTCAGACTTAAAACCAGTAGAGATCCTCCTGCCTCAGCTCCCAAATGCTGGCATTGCTGGCATTGCTGGCATTGCTGTCATGCATCACCACACTCAGCCAACACTAGGAATTCTTAAGAGAAAGAGTCCATAAATATAAAGCTAGACCTCTGAATCAGAGGTTAAAAGTTTTTGGAAGCCTGATATGTTGCTGGAATATACTTAAAATTGAAACAGTTTCCCAGAATCATTTTCTTTGCATTGACTTTCTTCTTGTGATTTGCATAAAAATACAAAAGACATTTTCTTAAGGCACATTTATCACGATACAAGTGTGATATATATTAGTAAATGCTTTGATTGAAAAGTGTTTTCCTAGGGCATGATCACATTCCTGAGGAGTGACAGCCTGAGTGCCAGTGAGCTGTCCAGTAGTGTTCCAGGATTCCCACCTGCGCAGCCTCATTTCCTCCTTTTGCAGTCCTTGAGTGTGATTATTCACACACCTGTTTCCCAGATGGAAATGAGGGGCTTTGGAGGGGCGAACTGCTTTCTAACCCCCTGAGTCATAGCACCAGTTACAGTCCTTCAAGCTTTAACTCGGTATGCTTTCCACGACATCATCACTGGTCTGGGAAGTGCAAATAAGCTTTCTCAAAAGTTGTAGCATTCAGTATCCTGGAGAAAAATGTGTTGTAGGAAATGTAAAATGATGTCTGTTGTAACAGTGGGACACTCACCATCTCAGGAAGTATTGTGAAGTTTTCAAAATATAAAATTATTCCATGGTATACACCAAGGCATATGTAGGTAATAAATACTTCACGTAATTAGACAAAAATGCCAAATCTCTTCCACTTGTGCATGTGATTTTATATAAATTTAACATGTAATTAAAAATATTCATGAGATTTCTCTTCTTACATAGTATGTGATAGATGTTTATACATCTATCTAACAACTCCTGTACAGAAAGGTTGCTATTGAAGAGAGATCTCTGCTGGAAATTATTTTGCTGATTGAACAAGTAGTTTAGTGATTTGTTTATGGAACTTGACAGCAGTTTTTTTTTCTAGTACTGGGAATAGAACTTATGAACTCATTACCAGGTGGGCACTGTGCCGCTGAGCAGTATCACCAGCCCTTGACTGCGATTATGAAGTATAAAATTTATTTCTTTACAATATAAATTTAAAAATGAAATTATATGCAATTAGTTGTCAAACTATCAGAAAATATCACCAATTTTGATAAATTTTACTATATTTTCTCCAAGATTCCTGCTGCTGCTACATGTAATAATATCCAGGCTGGAGGACCACAGTGCACTTAACCCTGTAAACACAAAATAGTATGAAATAGTATGTTGTTTGCACAACAATTTGAGTAGGAGTAGCCTTTAATTATTTCCATTCAGAGAGGAAGAATAAGGGCTATTTTTCTTTGTTTAGTGCTTAGTTTCTTTTTAATTAATGAAAATCTGCTTCTCTCACTTGCTTTTTTCCCTTAAGCATGATTTTAAACCTAAAATTTCAATGAAGCACATAAACTGTTTGGTATCAAGTCTTTCCTGTGTACAGTGGCCCCTGCCCCTTTTCCTTGGGTGATATGTTTCAAGACCTTAGTGCACGCCTGAAGCCATAAATAGTAGTAAACTCTATGTGCTCCACTGAGCCTCAGTGACCTCCAGTGTTGTATTCCTGTGCATTCTCTAGCACTCACTTAGGATCTAGAATTCAGTCATACAATATTTGATCTAGAAAATGCACTATTTAAAAAGTGTTCAAAGGCAATAGTCTTACCAAGGTACAGTAAAAAATGCAAAGTTTCAGACGTACTCCATCCCTACTGAGCCAGAATCTGTGTTGCGACAAAAAACCCAGGCGATTCATGGAGTCACTTAAATTTAGAAACTCTGTCTTAAGGTATTGGCAGTGGTTAATTTCCTTTCCCTCTTCTAGCACTAAGAAGTTAGCATTTCTAATTTTTTAAGCATCCTACCTCCTAGCCTACCACATATCAAGGTAGGGTGATTTGTTACTTGAACTCACCCAGGCAAAAAGTCATACAATAGGAAAGATAGGGTCTGAAGGAAAGGAAAAATGTGTGTCTATGATGGTGAGTGGATCGTATTAAATGTTACTGGTCAAAGAAAGTAATATTTGTGTGTTGTTGTGTATATGAGAATGAGAAGAGAGAGACAGGAAAAGGAGGGGAAAGAGAGAGAGAGAGAAAGAGAGAGAGAGAGAGAGAGAGAGAGAGAGAGAGAGAGAGAACTAGCCATTGGGTAGACAGTTACATAATCTTACCTCCTCTTTTGCAGCTGGTAGAGCCATTAACTCCTAGTGGCACGGCACCCAATCAAGCTCAACTTCGTATTTTGAAAGAAACTGAACTAAAGAGGATAAAAGTCCTTGGCTCAGGTGCTTTTGGAACTGTTTATAAAGTAAGTAACACCCACACACACAAACACACCATCAGTTATTTAAGTTTTGTTTCGAGATTTTCAAAAACATCATAGACAAAGTAATTACTTTAGCCAGCCTAATTTCCGTTCAACATTCAGAGAGGAGGACCTTTATATTATTAAAAAGTTGCTGCATGAATGAATTCATTAATTTTTATTGAATAAGCGAGGATAAAGTCTTGAGAGAAGGTAAGAAATGCTGATATGAAACCAAATATAGTTCCTCTCTCTCAATGCCCATTGCACCCCTTTCAAAATCATGCTCCCTTTGACAGATTTCAATTTATCTCAAAAATACCCCAAACAGCACATTTCTCCTCCCTGCCATGCAGTGCACCATGAAATCCCTGCACGTCTGGGCCAGGTACCGTCATGTGTTGCTTTTCTGTCCCTCTTCTCTTTTATCCACAAGCATATTTATAAGAACTCTACCGTCTGATCTCAGAACCCTCTTGAATATGCTGATGTGTTAATAGGATGGAAAAGCATTTTGAGCCATTTTGGCTGTCTTTTTACATACATGATTTATTGCTTAATGCTCATCATTTTGCTGGTCTTGTCATTATGTGCAAACTAAAAAATTAACCTTACATGTGAAGTTCAGGCCTGATAGGAAGAAAAGATAACATTATGAATTTTCAGTAAGAGGTTTTTTGAAAGGGAAAGCTCAGATGATAGCATTTGTCTGTTTACTTATTTAGCTTAATTACAAAATCAATCCAGAGGCCAGGCCCAAGGTTAATTATGGTAACGTTTACTTTGATGGTGAAAAACAAGAATAAGAAACTCTACTGCTTATCCTTTTTATAACATCCTTTACTACAGTTCAGAAAATTTATTTTCAATAAGTTGGGATAAATATAGTCGAGAGAAGGCAAGAAACGCTAGTACAAAGAATAAGGAGATATCACTGGAGGGTTCTGTTCTATGCCATAGGCACAGTCAGGGCAAAGATGTTAGAGTTTCCTTCTCTTATGACACGTAAATAAAATTTAGTCCAAGAGAAATATATATGTTTATGGAGAAGAGAGATAAAGATAATGGCCAGTTTTAAATGTATTGTAATGAACTTTCAGTTTTAAAATAACTCAGTGTTGGATTGTTTCTAACTTATAATCATCTTTATATATATTTGTAAGTAATATGGCCTGGAAACTAGATTTCATTTTAAAGCATGGAGACCATATAATTCAAGATTAAATACTACTTAATGACATCAGCAGGGGAAATACTAGCATTTAAAAATATATCTTTATTGATATTTCTTCTAAAAGAAGTAATTTATTTTTAATGATTATTTTTTATTTATTTGTAACAAAGCTTTTAAAAAGTTCTGTAAGTTTGCTTCAATTGTATGCTTTGAATGTGTCTGATGAGTCTCCAGTTTTAATCAATATAGCAACGGTTGTAAGATATACTGTCTTAAAGTATAAAAGGTTATTCCTAACCACAGAAACATACACTTCTTGGTAAATTATTTGGTCATTTTTGTTCTCCCAAATGGAGCTATACTGTGTTTAAGCATAAACAATTAGAAACAATATGATTGTAATAATAGAGGTGAATTTTTGTCTGGTCAGATCTGGAAAATAATTACTACACTTTTTGTTTCCATAGCAGGATAAATTAATTTTCACTAACTTCATACTCTTATTTAAAACACATTTAAAGAATATTTTAATATTGATGTAGTATCTTTATGAAGTAACTCATTATGGTTATCTTACTGAATAATAGCAAGTGTATTCTCTATCCTTTGATGAGAAAATGTAGACCTGTTAATACTGAGCTCATATATTTTCTTACCCATTTGTTTTGATTTTTAAAATTTTTTTTAGCACAAAGTGCTCGGAATATTATTTTGTATTTGATACACACATTTGCCTATTGATTCTGCATAAAAATGTAACTTTAAATTTACCACTTGAAAGTTAAAATATTTTTCCTTTATTAGTTGAGACAGGAAGTAGCTAAAACTTGGCCAGAGAGAGAAGGAAGGACCGGCGTCTCAGCTCAGTCTCTCAGCTAGATCCTCATTCTGAGTTAAACCTTAAGCCCCAGTCTGGGATAGTTAGGTCTAAATACACTGGGAGAAAGAAATCAGGTGACTCGACTTATACACAATAAGGATCTAGTTACCATGTCCCTGACTGTGCAGTTTTGACATCCCGCATGCCTCACCCCTGAAGTGGGCTTTGCTTAGTTCCTCCAAAGGCCATCAGAAGTCAACAACTCAGGGGCTGGGGATTTAGCTCAGCGGCATAAGCGCCTGCCTTGCAAGCAGACAGTCATGAGTTCGATCCCCAGTACCGATAAAAAAGAAAAAGACCAAAAAAAAAAGTCAACAACTCCACAGCCTTGCAAAGTGACAGAGCTAAACCATTCACCAGCAAGAGCAAAACTTCAGGCCAACCCCTCAATCCTGTCCCAAACCTTAATGCTTAAAACCCTGAATTTCAAAACTCCTCCCAGCTGACCGGCCAGCTCCACCTGGTGGAGTCCCCTTTGACTGGGCAGACAGCAAGAGCCTGGACCCAGTAACATTAGTATTTTGAACAGATATGCTTATCTTTCTTTTCATTTGCTGCAGCTTTAGTTAACACAAACACATTGTGTTTTGCTGTGGATGATCACAGGGAAACATTTTAAATCTTCTGTTTTTAAATGACCACCACCAGCTGATAATAAGAAAACAAGGAATATGGATGATCTATTCAGGAATAGAAGACCATTTTTGTCTTTCTTTCATTTTAATGTTAAAAGTGTCTTATGAAGTCTTCATTGATGGCAGGATGAATAAGTTAAAATCTGAAATACTTTTTCTATCCTAACTTCATATTTGTTCTTGTGTTCATTTGGTCAAAAGGCTTTCTAAAATATATTCTTCCATTCATCCTTGTATATCTTACTAAAATTATTGTCCTCATTTAAATATTTCAATCCTGTTTATTCAGAAATGCTAATATTTAACTTAATGTTTTACATTCCTCAAATGTTATCAGCTTTATTTTTATCAACTTTATTCTCTCCCAGTGCATAGATCCTGTAGAGATGTTATAATTATGTTGATAGAAAGAATTAACAATGGCGACTATGAATATTTTATATAAATGCTTTACATCAAAGGTAATAAAACTTTCATATACACACAGAATTTAATACTATATAAAAGTTAAGATGTGTGCAATATTCCCTAGTATGTGCCTTTGAAAACTGAATGTAATCACCTTTGAAAATTATTTCTTAAATCACTCTGAACTTGAAGAACATAATACTATGCTTTAGTTTGAGAATAGATAGCTTTAAAGCTGAAGGAACCTCCAGCATTATTTAACTCATTCTTCTAAATAATAGTTGAGATTGTCAAAATTTTAAAAGTGTAATAGTCTTCTCAAAGGCTTGAGAAGTCCTTGTTATCATCCAAATGTCATTATTTTTTTATCCCATTTCTATATTTCCTTCACTATCCAGTGTTTTCTCATGCACACAAGTTGAAATCCACAGTAAACGTCTTTGAAAGCAGAATATCTATGTAATTCATCATCACATAATGAAATTAGACAATTAATATGGACAATAACTTGTGACATTATAACAAGTACTAGCTGTTGATTGAATGAAAGAATACAGAACTCTCAAGACAATTAATAGACTGAGAAATCAGATCAAATTTTATCTCTGTTATAGATGTTTTGATGTACATGTAATGTGATTTGTTTTTCTTAAAGGGCATTTGGGTCCCTGAAGGAGAAACAGTGAAGATTCCTGTGGCTATTAAGATTCTCAATGAGACGACTGGTCCCAAGGCCAATGTTGAGTTCATGGATGTAAGTACCTGCGTGCAACGTTGATATTTTTATCCTTTACCACACAGCCTGTTTTGAGAGTTGAAAAAATAAAGGTGTACATAAGTTACAGTTTCTTCTCTGGGAAAATTGTATATTTTTAACTGAAATTACTAAGACCACATTATATTATACCTCTTAGATCACCTCCGCTTCACAACTGTCTACATAGGTACTGCCGTAGAAACCAATGTTTGAAATGTGAAGCTATTTAAAATCCTCAGAGAGAATTATCTTCTGTGAATCAGGAATGTAATGTTTTCATTTTTCATTGTTAAGTAGAACCAAATATTAAGTGAAAGTAATATATAATTTGAACTGAAAAATGTATTTGACGGCCATCAGTCACCGCTTATATTGAACAATCCAGTGTCATGAATGGATTTCTTAAAATTAGTTCACTGAATCATACAAAATGTCTTATGTGGTGACAATGGTAATCACTGATATTTTCAAAGTGCTTACAAGGTGCTAAGTTCTAGGTAACAGATAATATTTATGCAGTGGTAATTGCCAAGCACTCTTATAAATAATTTACAAATCATTCCTCATCTAATCCTAGGGTCCAGGTTAGCTTGAGTTCACGAGTTTGGGACATGGAAAGTTTAGCCTTTGAGCAAGGTGCTTGGCTTTGGCAGGGTCAGTAAGTATTTTCTTCAGAGAGTCAAGAGTTATGAACCATGTGTTCTCTGTGGCAGCTCAACTCTGACCTTTTTGGTGGGAAAGCAGCCATAGGTAATTAAGACAAAACAAAAGAAACAAACAAACAAGCCAAAAGTGAATGGGTGTGTTTGTGTGTCTTCCTGTAAGGCTGCATTTACACAAAACAAGACAGGTACCAGATTTGGTTTGAGGGCCAACCACTGCTCTCAAAGCTTGTGTGTGTAAGTAGTATGGTAAATTATGTTTTAGCAGTGGTTATTATGATTTGAAGAATTAATGAGCTGCTTTACCTTACTGGGGTGTTGATCTATTTGAAAATGAGTTTCTCTAGTATTTGAAATTAGTTTCTCTAGTAAGTTACTCTGCTGAATTTAAGTGTGGTATCTGTCTCAATCTGATCATTACCCATGAAAATGTACTTTTTTGTCAGTTCCAAGTCAGAAGACAGACATTTACAGGAAAAAAGCTCCCAACTATAGAATAATAAAAGAGTTCTACAGAATGAAAGTACTTTATCAGGTCAATCAGAACCTTAAGATTTCTCAGAGCAAAAACTGTAGATTGAGCTGTTCAGCAAATCAGAGCAGGATGGAACAAAATTAATATATGTTGCATGCTGTTAGTTTTTCAGATTCTACAGAAGATATCTTGCCAGGTTTCTAGCAAAAAGCCATATACATTCTTTCTCTATTTTTTTAAGCATAGTCATAAGAATGATTTTGATTTTCCAATGACCTTTATATGAAAGAAGATCCAAGCATATGTGCTTTGATTTTTTTAGATGAATCACTATTTATTCTTACTAGTTTTTTCTTTAAAGATCTTTTGTAGATTTTACAAGCATTTAGGCTCTTACCTTGAATAATTTATTTGAGTTTAATACTAAGCACCTTATGTAAAGCAATTTTTAGCTTGTTTTTTTTTATCACTGATTGCATAATAGAGCTGATAATCAGCTGATACAAATGCATTGCTCTAAACAGTTGATTCTGTGCATTATGGTGAAATATTTAGCAACACCCTTGTTGCTTATCTGCCAAAACCTGTCTAATAACTATTGTCCAGTAAGTACATAATATTTTCTTCTGCAGGTCTCTAAAGCTGTTGGCATTTTTTGTGGTTACATGTCTTGGCTCATGTACTTGAATTGAAAACTGAGATCTTGTGCAGTAATGTCTCAATTATTCTATTTGATTTGATCATAGCTATACATGTGTGGAGAGAATTTTTAAAGAAAACAGACATTATCAAGAAAAATTCTAGTAGGTAAAAACAGTGTAGGTTAATATATGAAGCTGATAAATAAAATAATCTTTCTCAGCCTGGGCTGCAGCCAAAGCTGAAATACAAAGAATGCTAATAATCTCTCCTTGAGCCCTGGACAGCCATTTTTGTCATATTTCCATGGAAACCGACTGGCAAAAGAGGGTTAAGAGGCTACAAAATAATCACCTAAAAAGGAAGCTCTAAAAACCTAATCATGATTTTGAATGATTATTTGAAAGCCACTAACCCCATCCGTTTCCCCCCTTGATCTGAAGCCTATTTCCATGGAAACAGAAGGGGGATAGCAGTTTGCAGCCTAGATTTCTGCTGAATGTTAGATGAGCCTCTGATTGAGCCATGAAAGGAGTCATTTTCCTAGATGGTAGATGGTTTTGGTAACCAACAGACCAAAAAAAAAAAAAAAGGAAAAAAAAGAAACTTTTTCAAGGTTAAAAGATTAAAATTTTGACTGCGCATGCCTTATTTGTGAATAGCTGCTTGAAAATTAAAAGACTGATGAACTGCTATTGCAGAATTTCTGTAAATGCCAAGAAATGCTTCCTACTCTGTTGGTGACTCCTTTTAAAACTTTTGACAGATAGCATCGCAATGGTGGAAACTGTTTGACTGTTAAATGGATGACAAATTAAGTATTTTAACTCAGCTGGATTGAATTTCATGTAAACACAGAGCTGCTTTCCATCCCTCCTTATTCAGCTCACCTGTTGTGTGTCTGTGTCATTGTGACACTTTGCATAACATGCTGAACCACAATAGGACGTTTGCATAAGCAAAGTTATTTGTAGTTTTAGCATACAGATTCCATTGAAATTACACATATTCAAGAGTTACTAAAAGTAGTATGTTGACATGGATCTTAGTTTAGGCTCTTCCAGAAATAGAAGCTAGGATCTCACTAAAAGAAATTCATTTTGGAGGTGAAAGACTCATCAGGAAAGAGGAAACAAGTCAGAGGAACCAATGAAGCTAGCTGTATTGCGAGGCACTTCGCTTTTGTATACTAATGTCGGTACCCATTTGTATTATGCGTGTGTTGTGTGACATTCCATAGAAGGAAAATAAGACTCGAATGAAAATGGCAATGGCGTACTCTTAGTGTTAGATCCTTTGTACCTCCTCTAACTTTACATTTGAATAGATTACTAATATATATTCTTTTTTTCTTCATTTAATTCCCTAGTTCAGTTTCTGCATTAGGTTGTTAGCTAAATCAGTCGCTCAGGGAGAAACTGTATGAAGTAGGTACAGTCTTCAGCACACCCACCACCACCACAATAACAACATCAACAACAGCAAAATATACATACCAGACAGAGCAGTACTGGTTAGCATACCAAGTGTCACAAATGAAAAAGCTTAATAGCCAAACTTCATTGTCATGATTTACATTTCTATTGATGACCAAGGGCAAAGGAGAAGACTTATATTTTCTGAGAATTTTTTTGGTAGAAAATGAGGTAAATATGGAGCAGTTTATATTCTATCAAACGCTCTACTAAAGCAAGAAGGGAATTTTCAGTCACAGGGCTGTTACTTAGCTCGCTTGAATATGTCTAATAGATTCGTAATGACAGTAATGACACAGGGTAGGTGAACAGCCCGTACGTTCCTCCTTCCCATAAAGGAAGAGCACGTTGAATAACACTGAGAAAATGACCCTGAAGGTCCATCTTCCTAAGAACGCCTGCATTTACACAAGCTCTTAGTTCTTATTTCAATGACACAATTATGCTGAAAAAAATGTAGGCTTTTTGTGAGGGTTTTGTTATATTTTTTAAATCCATCTAATGCTTAAGAACACATACCTAAGCAATGATATTACTGAGCAAGATTCCTGGAACAGGAAACCATGTCTGGTAAAATTACACAGGACCTTAGCTTTTTAGAGGGCTCAAAACTCAGTATTTCCACCCCTGTGAAATTTAAGCCTATCATCAGTTGACATAGTTTTTCAATATTTTACTTCCATCATTTGTTTCCTTAAAAGTTAAGCTGGACTGAAAGAAATTCTGTAATTATCCTAAATTTCCAGTGACAAACAATACTGGCTTTGTCCTCCTGGGAATCCCGTTGGTTTCAGTTTCTGTGTGGCACACTCATCTGACCGCACACTTCTCAGTTCCATCGTAGGAGGGAGCGTGTCCTGCAACACGCTGGGCCTCACTGTGGCAATGACAACATTCTTATTTAATAAAGAACCTACTGTTTTCTACATACGCCATAAGAAATTTTCTCTACATCACTGTTGTTTTGCTATTTTCTAAATAAAAGTTCACAGGCTTATGTTTATGTTTTTCTTCTCGACATTGCCTTCCTGCTATTATCTAAAGGGGAGTTATTTCAATGCTAATCAATATCTTACTGGGGTGATATGAATATGATTCAGCAGTAGTTTGCACTTTTTCTTAGTACAGACTTCCAAAATGATTTAAAGAGCTGTTTTATTTTATAACCCTGTCATATTACAAAGATTCCTGTGTTTGGATTCATACAGTCAATTGTAACTCTTAGTTCAATCCTGTGTTATACTAATAGGGGATATTTAAAATTTCATGTCATTCTAACTGATTTTTTTAAAAAAAATTATGTGATTGAATCCAATTATATCTTTCACCCTTACAGGTTTCATACATTTACATGAATTAATACACTCATCTTTCTCACATGTGGATAAATTCAGACATTTCTTGTATTTTTAAGAGCTATAACTTGTTACAGGGTCCACTGCTTTTAGCATGATCCTCAAAAGTTGATTAACTTGATTCTCTTTGCTTTAAGAAAGATCATAATTTTAAAGATCACAATTTTAAATAGTTCTACAGAGCATACTTGTTTTTCATAGTAAAATGTTATGTTCAGAAACTTAATTAGAAACAGAACTTGGAGTCTTTTAAATCTCTACTAAAATGAAAGAGGGAGAAAGAAGAGAAAAAGAAAAGAAGAAAAAAGAGTGAATGAGGGAGGGAAAGGAAATAAAGGAAGGAAGGAGAGAGGGAAGAGGAAGGAGGAAACAGAAGTTTCCTAATAACGAA